GGATATGGTATATTATGAAAACTATACAAATTATAATAACATAAGAGTAATAGCCATTAAATCTGCAATATTAAAAATGCCAAATGAAATTTCTGAAAAAACCTGCAGGTTTTTGTTTTCCAAACTCTATTCACAGCAAAGTGCTTTTCTATTACTGAGGAGTGTGAGACAACCTAAACTTAAAATACTAAGTGTAACCTTTGACAAGTTCATTAGAAATACATACAAAATCCCATGAAATTGCAAAGACTGATGAAGAACAGTCTGAAATAGAGCATTATTTTTAAAAAGAGAAAGAGAGAGAAAGCAGGCACAAAGGGGTGAAGCGGGGGAGTCAAGTCAAATTAGCAGATTCTATAGAAGTAAAGAAACAAAATGGTATTTTACTATTCTGGTCATTTTGCCAAAAAGGGATAATTGATCATTAAGAAAACAGGAAGCACACTACCTTCTAAGAGAGGAAAAATAACCATGGTTGTATGATCTAAAACCATAAGACTTAGAAGGCCTACACACTTTCAGATACTGAAATTCTGACTCAGAAATCACAGGTGAAGAAAATACCGTAAGAAGCCAATACGGCTCAAAGGTTTCAAAAACATGTATAAATACATTGATAATTGTGTCTTAGAAACATACCTGTGTTTTTAGTAATATAAACAGCACCTGTTTGGAGTATAGGTTATTAGAAGAGAGAAGACCTCAATTAAGAGGTATGGTAGATTGTATCCTTTTCCCAAATATGCGCTATCCCTCCCTGTCCCACTGACATCAAGCTTGGCCATGTGACTTTGGTACCTCCCACTGATGGATAATACCTTCTCATCCACTTGACTTTAAGCTTGGTGGTAAATGTCTTGGTCAATGGAATATGAGCAGAGATGGCATGTGCCACTTCTGAACAGAGGCTTCAATGAATGCGCTATTATGTATTTTGCCATTGCTCTTTGCTCTTTATCAGGTATCTTTGACAGGGGGTGCCCCAACAGCATAATTCCGGCCTGGAGGTAAGAGGACATAGAGCAGTGCTGCAGTAAATGACTCACAATGGTCAGCAGCATGAGCAAGAAATGAACCTCAACTGTCAAAAGACAGTAAGAGCTTTCAAGGTCTTTTGTTACTGCAGCATAACTGCGTCTAACCTGATTGATTAAAGAGGCCACTGCAATACTTCGTGAAACACTTATGAAGTTTTAAAGTAGGTCAGTGGCAATCAAAATGAAGAGAACTGAACTGACTAGAGGAATATCTGGAAGGCTGGAGGAAAGCAGTGAGGATATATAGTAAGAATATATAAGGATATATAGTAATATATAGTAAGAACCACAAACAAGGAAAAATAAATAACTTAGGGGACCAAGATAGTAAACAGGCCACCCCATGGAAGTAGGATTAGATGAATTATATATGACCCCCAAAGAACAGAATCAAGGTAAAGAAAAGAAAACTACAGGGAGACAGACTTCTGCTCAGCATAAGAAAGACTTTCTAACAGTGAGTATTCTCAGAAGATGAAAAGAACTTTAGAAAGTTCGGCTCACATAATCAGAAGTATTCAAGGAAAGGATGGAGGACCACATAAAAAGGATATTATACTTAGAATGGTATTCCAGAATTAGCTGGGTAAACAGACTAACTGACTTTTAATGTTGTGTCCAACCTTGGAAATAGTAATATCAATACTTCTGTTAGCGAAACTAAGTCAATCTTATCTAAATAGAAATGCAAAGACATAACAGAAAATTGCTGAGAGTAAGATAGTAAACTGTAATTCAATAAATTTAGGTTGTAAACAGATAAGTAAGTTACCGCAAGTGCTCTAAGCTATGAGAAGAACAAAAGGGCAAGCATGTATTAGCCAACCCAGTTTCTGTTGACAATGAATAAAGAGAGCTAAAAACAGTCATGTAAAATGCTTCCCTGTCTCATGAGTAGGGTAATTTTCATTCATATAACACAGTTACTTAAAGTTTGATGAAAAGACAATATTATTTTAAAGGACAAAAGAACTATTAAAAATTTTCAAAAGAATCTCAACTCATCCATTCTAATAGTAGAAAGGGAGCTGAACAGCTTAATTATTCATTATTTTCTAAAAGAAGCACTGTTTTGTTTCAAAATAAACTCCTATAGGAGGATTCAAATTAAAATACGCAAAATAATCATTTATGGGGAAAAGGAATTAATAATTATTGAAAATAGGTCAAGTATTATGTGGCAGGCATCATATACAACATCTAACAAAAGCTCAAGATGCATAGTATCCTACATTTAATTTAAAGGGCATTAACTAAGACTTTGTGAGGTTAGGGCAACTGTCCAAATAACGGACCTTGAAATCAAACCAAGGCCCAACCCAAAGTTCTTCTGAACTATCTCAAGCTTTATTGTTTGACATACTGCATATGACACAATTAACTTTCTTATAAAATAATAATTCAATCTGACCTAGACTACAGTTTCTATCATAAACTCTGAATACATGAGCACAGAATAAATTAATTTTCTGCATTTCTCTTTTCTCCCAGTTTTTCTGCTCTTCTAATTTTCTTCCAACAAAGAAACATGCTACCATTTAAAACACAAAATACTAAAAAGAATACAATTCAATCACAAATTCATTAATATTTTTCTGAAAAGAATTATGATATAAAAACAACACAGTGAGCTACAATTTTAAAAATATGTACTTTGTTCCATATACATTAAAAAATTATTGGGACTTCCCTGGTGGCGCAGTGGTTGAGAATCCGCCTGCCAATGCAGGGGGCATGGGTTCAAGCCCTGGTCTAGGGAGATCCCACGTGCTGCAGAGCAACTAAGGCCATGTGCCACAACTACTGAGCCTGCGCTGTAGAGCCTGCGAGCCACAACTACTGAGCCCACGAGCCACAACTACTGAAGCCCATGCGCCTAGAGCCTGTGCTCCACAGCAAGAGAAGCCACTGCAATGAGAAGCCCGCGCATCACAACGAGTAGCCCCTGCTCACCGCAACTAGAGAAAGCCTGCACGCAGAAATGAAGACCCAACGCAGCCAAAAATAAAATTAATTAATTAATTTTTAAAAATTATGTTAAAAGGACTGTGTTTAGAGGTACGTTAATTACTATACAGATATAAGAGCTTTATTCTGGCACAGGATTATGGAAATAGTAAATTTTCCACATTTTCCTGAAGGGACTTTGTGTATACGTGTGTTTTGTTTTGTTTTGTTTTGCAATGGGAGAAAGAACTGCCAAATATCTGGAATATTTAAGAGTACTCAACTCTTAAAATCAATGCTTCTAAAATATACTGCCTTAGTAACAGCCTCTAGGTCTACTCCAAATCACAGAAGGAGGAACAAAAGTTCAGAATGAAAAATAGATAAATTTGGTGGGAAAGGTCTTTCTGAGTGACTTAAATTATGACAACTTATTAACTGTAACTTAAGAATCCTAAGCAGTGATATTGCAGTGATATTACCCTAGATAATAGCTTGGATAAGAAACTTAAAGGTACTAGAATGTCCTTCCAGTTTTGATCACCTAAAAGAACTATAAACTCAGGGAAGGAAGTACAAAGTTTTTCCCACAGACATTCTTAAATAATCCATTCTTTCTCATCTATGCCTCCCCTTAAAACACCATCCAGAGCCTGGGACATATTGTTATGCCAGCAAGTAAGGAGGTGCTCAAACAATGATGAGGACAGGTCAAAAAACCACAGGAGCCCTCATGAAGGGGCTTCCCTCCAGCCGAATCGGCAAGTACTTAGGCATCAAACTAAATGATAGTGATAAATTATAATTCACTGAGTAGTACAGGAATCCCTCTTTTCCAAATTCATATAGATAGAAAGATTAAGAGAGAGAGAGAAATACATAATAAGTCCATGGCAGAAATTGAAAATCTTTTCTTTACAAAAGAATGCCAACTAATAGAAGGAATGGTGACATTACAGTCATACAAGTAATAATTGATATAGACAAGGACCACCAATAGAAGCTTAACCAAGTGACTCAGAATTTCATAACAAATGGGATAATTACACAATCTCGTTGGATCTGGCCACAAATTACTTATTAATTTCAAAGACAGAAATAACAAAGATCATAGTTACTTATTAATCTACAGTGGAGAACCTTGGCAGACCACCACTCACAAGAGAGATCAATGTTAATAATCGTCAATAATGAGAGGCTCAACAAATGGGCCTCCTCTTTCGATACACTGAGAAGGACACAACATAATTTCTATGGTACTCCTATTGAAGAAGCATAAACTAAATCTAATCATGAGGAAACTATCTCAAATTGAGGTACATTATATAAAACATATGGCCTTAACTCGTCCAAAATGTCAATGTTGAGAAAGAAAAAGAAAGGTTAAGGAACTCTTCTAGATTTAAAATGACATGAGAACTAAATATAATGCATGATTACAGAGTAATCTTGGGGGAGGGAGGTTAAGCTAAAAAGAACGTAACTGGGACAAATGGGAACATCTGAGTTGAACTACGGATTAGATAATGGCATTTTATCAAGGTTTTATTTCCTAATTTTCATAATTGTACTGGGCTTATAGGAGAGGATGTCCTTGTCCTCAGGAAATGTACACCTAAATACTTTGGAGTTACAGAAAAAGAATCTCAAATGTGTAAATGACTCTCAGGCGTTTGAGGGAATAAATCTGAATGCACACACATGCACACACATGATTCACATTGGGTGCAAAAGCAGGGTGGGTGAGAGGGTGAGGAATCACACAAATTATAAAGCAAACTGGGCAAAAGAAAAACTGTTAGTGAAGTTGTGTGAAAGGATATATGGAGTACTTTGTGCCACTCCTAGAAATTCTCTAAGTTTGAAATTGTATCAATATAAAAAGAAAGAAGAGATTTATATACATTTTTATAAAGTTGTATGTGAAAGTGTTTTCAGAATTACAGGAAACCCTCTGAGTATCTAGCATTATACTTGGGTGTGTCAAAACCATCGTGATGATATTCCTTCTCTTACCTTTCTAACAGATTGTGGATCGCTTTGAAGAGCAGCGTCCGACATTCGTAGGAGAGGCCATTTTCCCAGAGTCCTTCTTCCACAACTGAAAATAAAACAAAACAAAGCAAAACAAAAAAATGAACCAGTAAGCAGGGCATCCAAATAAAAATAAAAGAAACTTTAAAAATATTTTTCTAAATCAAAGTTAATGAGCTAATTTAAGTAGATTAAATCGCACTGAAACACAGAAAAGAAGTTAAATAATTGCCCAAAGCCATAAGATACTTATGTACAGAAGGGAATAATGTGTTTTGATTTTAAAGTTATTGAAATATAGGCATGGTACAATCCCCCCCCACATAAAGGTCTTACCAACCTGCCTCTTCAAAGTTTGAAATCATCCAAAATTCTCAAATTAATCTTTCTACCTAATAGTGTCACAAAGACTAATTTTGTTATTAAAGTTCTGTTCAAAGTAACAAAATGTCACAAATTAATACAAAGGTTATCATATGTATTTTAAGAGAGAAAACCAGGAAAAAATATCCAAAAATGACATTACACAAATTTCTTTAAATGTTTTGAAAGCAGTATATGAATATGATTTTAAGGACATGATTTTAGGGAGAATGTCAGAGAATTAAATCTTAATATAACATCAAATTTATTTCCTGAACTCATGATTTCATTAATGTTTAATATTTGGGAAAGCATCATATTTGCCTTTGAAATACGTTGTAGCATTACTTAAGAGTCACAAGTAACTCTAACACAAGAGAATCCAACAGACTAACAATGCCTTATGTATTCCTAATGTTCTTTTCATATGTAAAAATTATAAAATGCCCTAGAGAAGATACCTAATTTTCTTCTAAACTATATTAGTTCATTTCAACATAGCAAAAAATTGAAAGGATGCAAACAACATCTGCAGAAGAAAATTTTTTTTTTTTTTTTTTAAAGAAGATGTTGGGGTAGGAGTTTATTAATTAATTAATTTATTTTTGCTGTGTTGGGTCTTCATTTCTGTGCGAGGGCTTTCTCTAGTTGTGGCAAGTGGGGGCCACTCTTCATCGCGGTGCGCGGGCCTCTCACTATCGCGGCCTCTCTTGTTGCGGAGCACAGGCTCCAGACGCGCCGGCTCAGTAGTTGTGGCTCACGGGCCTAGTTGCTCCGCGGCATGTGGGATCTTCCCAGACCAGGGCTCGAACCCGTGTCCCCTGCATTGGCAGGCGGACTCTCAACCACTGCGCCACCAGGGAAGCCCTGCAGAAGAAAATTTCCTCTGCCTTTTACTTGGTGTCTTGACAAAAGTACTCACCAGAGAAAATTCTGACAGAGAATTGAAACACATGTTAAATCCACAACGCATTTTTAATGCATTTACCACACCAACTGACATCTCAAAATGCATCTCTCCTTATTTTCCAATCAGAAAGAATTCAAAAAAGTGTACTTATATTTAAGGGTTTCTCTACAGGACTTTTTTTTAAATGATAAAACTGGATAAATATTTTTTTTCTTGGGATGTCAGATAACTCTTTGTCTTCCTGACTATGTGGCTAATCATGACCTACCAAAATTTTCCAAATTAACCTCTTCAGAGACATTTTATATTATTTATAACTAGAGAAATGGCAATAAAGTACAGCAAATAAACAAACATTCCTGCTATCAATACATTATCTCTGTTCAAGACAAAACATCCAAAAATTTTCTACAGTCCTCTAAAGGCATCATGAATCTCTATTTTCACACATTTATCTTTGGGGTAGAGCTTTCCTGAGTGAGAAAGCAAGCTAACATTTCAATAAAAGGAACATCCCATATTAATTTGCTTTTATTTCCTAATGTAAGCTAAAAATTCCTAAAACTTCATCAACATTCAAAGTCCAACTCTTCTGAATTACTCTTCAAATCAGTCACCAGTAACAGTTTTTTCTACATATTAGTCTTTTGTGCCACAAAGAGTACTGGTGATGCAGTATTTATGAAAAAAGTGTCCCATTCGTCTTTCCAAGATTTTCTTCCAAGTTGGTGACACCTATTCTGCATATTAAAAAAAAAACTTTTATAATTAAAACCTTCAAACATATTTTAATATAGAATAACAGGCCTCAAATAAATTCCTAAGCCAAATTATCAACATTGTGTCATCTGCTTAACCACCCTGCTTTTTTCTTCCTTTCTTTTTGTTTTTCTTCATATATTCTGAGGCAAATCCCACTCCCAAGTACTTCATTATAAATCAAATCAGAATCTAAACAAGGTCTATCAATTACTTCTCAAGTTACATCTCTTAAGTCTCCTCAATTTGCAACAACTCATCTCCTCTTTTCAAATATGGCATTTACTTACTGAAGAAACCAGGTTAGCTGTTTTACAGAATACCTCACATTCTCATCTGATTGTTTCCTCATGAAACAATCCTCATTTTTTAATGTTGGCGCTACTTTGACCTTAACAGAAGAGGTCAAAGGAAAGTTCTCAAACAACAGAGCTCTATTTCTTCCTCAAATGATCCTCAAATAATTTGTTAACTGAAATGTTGAAGGGTTATAGCTGTCTAGACATGCAATGTAGAATACTAAACAAATGTGAGCATGCACAGGCAATGCCAATTACATCACTGTCTTAAGATACCATTATGATTTTATCCTGATTTTAACAATTTTTAAAATAGGTCTTAGAAATTTTTTCTTGAAAAATAATCTTACAAGAGCAATTACAAAAAACCTACACCTAACATCGTACTTACAGTTAAAACCCTGAATATTTTCCCCTAATATCAAAAACAAAGCAAGGATGTCTGCTCTTACCACTCTTATTCCACATTACAGTGGAGGTCTCAGCCAGTACAAGAAAAAGAAGTACCAGGCATACTAACTGGAATGGAAGAAATGAAATGATCTTTTTTTTTCCAGATGACATGACTATTAGAAAGTCCTAAAGAATCAACCAAAAAAAAGCTACTAGAACTAAAACTGAGTTTAAGTCAGTTAAGGTCAACAGATACAAAACAATCATATTTCTATAAACTGTAATGAATAATTAGAAAATTTTACAAATCTGAGTACCATTTATAATAGCACCAAAACCCATGAAATCCTTGGATCTAAATCTTACAGTTGGGAGACTTACACCAACTGATTTCCAGATTTACTATAAAGCTAGAATAAACAAAACAATATGGTACACTACAGAAAGGACAGTTATACAGATCAATAGAACAGAATAGAGAGTCCGGATATAGACCCACAAATATATGGTCAACTGACTTTCAACACAGCTTGCAAAGGCAATACAGTGGAGAAAGAACAGTCTTTTCAACAAATGGTGCTGGATTTAATGAATATCCCAATGTAAAAAAATCAGCCTCAAACCCTACCTCACCCCATACAGAAAACCTCAAAATGGATCATAAAACAAAATGCAAAACCTGAAACTATAAAACTGTGAAAATATAGGAGAAACCTTTTATAAGCTTAGGTTAACCAAAGACTTCAAAGATACGACACCAAAAGCATGATCCATAAATAAAAACTGTTAAAAAGAGCTTCATCAGTATGAAGAACTCAGTTCCTTAAAAAGCACACAAAAGTTACATTAAGCTATGGAGAAGATAAGCCACAGATGGGGGAAAAGCAGTTACAAATCACGTATCTGACAAGGACTTGTATTTAGAAGATGCTATTCTTGAAAAAAATTCCTAAACAACACAAATTAAAAAAAAATTTTTAGAGAATGGACAAAAGGTTTGAACAGATACTTCACCAAAGAAGATACATGAATGGTAAATAAAAACATGAATATATGCTCAAAACATCACTAGTCATTAAAGAAATGCAAATTAAAATCACAGTAAGATAACACCCCTTATAATGGCTTAAAAGAAAAACAAAATACTAAGTGCTAGTGAGCATACAGAGTAACTAGAATTGTCCTATACTGCTAAAAGAAATGCAAAATTAGTACAGTCACTGTGGAAAAGCTGACTTTGGCAATTTTTCTAAAGTTAAACATACACTTTACATACAGCCCAGCGATATCCTTCCTAGGTATATATTCAAGTAGAATAAGAACTTAGGTTCACATGAAAAACTGCAGCAAATGTTTTTACTTGTTTTTCTTTCCCCCCCATAATTGACAAGAACTGGAAACAGTTGTCTCTCAACTGGGGAAAGGACAAACAGTGGAAAATCCATATAACGGGATACTATTCAGAAATAAAAGGAACTACTGATACACTCAAACCATGAATGAATGTCATTATGCTAAGTGAAAAAAGCCATACTCAAAAGACCGCATGCTATATGTTTTTATGCACATAATATTCCTGCTCAATGGTCTCCAGGGATGGGGGTGGTTGGAGGAGGGCTGTTAACAAAGGGACATGAGAAATTGGGGCAAGGGGGGGATGGGGGTTGGGGGGGACAGGTTCTGGATTATGCTTACATTGATTTTTTGAAATACATTTTTAGTGCTAAAAATGAGAACAGGGTGTGAATTAAAAGGACTCCTATTCTAAATATGTATTCCAAACATAATTGTTTTTACCCAAAGGATTGGTGTCTATTTGGTTAACCTTCACTCATAAATTATTAAAAGCAAAAAACAAAAAAAACAGTTTAGGGCTTCCCTGGTGGCGCAGTGGTTGAGAGTCCGCCTGCCGATGCAGGGGACACGGGTTCGTGCCCCGGTCCGGGAAGATCCCACATGCCGCGGAGCGGCTGGGCCCGTGAGCCATGGCCGCTGAGCCTGCGCATCCGAAGCGCCTGTGCTCCGCAATGGGAGAGGCCACAACAGTGAGAGTCCCGCGTACCGCAAAAAAAAAAAAAAAAAAAGAAAAAAAAAAAACAGTTTAAGCAAAAAGAGACCGCAGACCCGACCACAGTGTTCCTCCCCAACAACACAATATACTGTTATTTATATTATGTACTTTATGTTAATTACTATATACAAATAGAACAAAGTAATTCAGGAAAATATTTTATGTTAATTACTATAATACAAATAGAACAAAGTAATTCAGGAAAATATTTTTGTTTTTAAATATTAAAAATTAATTTGAAAACAAACCTTTATTAATATTATTAAA